TGTTCCTACTTCTTAAACTTCTACATCATACTGAATTTCGTGAAAATTATATTCACAAACAGGAATCCACAACAATCTGCGAAAATGAAAGTATTTCTTCCACAAATAGCGAACTTGCTATCGACAGTCCCGAAAATAATAACAATGATATTAAAAAGGTTTGGTGCGAATTTATTACAAAGTTTAGTGAAGATGTCATAAAAAATTTGGAGAATGATCCAATATGATTTCGAACAGCCATTGAAAAGTTTATGAAATATTACCGGAAAATGTAAATAGTAATTCAACTCTGATGAGTGGTTTGCACAGTGGTTTCAAATTTGATAACTTGCCGCGATCTTTGACAATAAGTTCGAAACAAGTATCAAGAAAAGGAAAGTCGATTTCTGTTTAGCCAACTTCTGTTTCTCGACGAAAAGTCAAAATAACAGGTAGAAGATCAATGCAGCAGGAAGGAAAGTGGAAAGTCTTAGAGTAAGAACGTTTAAAGATCCACATTCTCTTAATAGTTGTGTAAATAACAAATTGCACTTGGTGAGAACAAATTTACAAAATAAGTATGTACTAACGTGTTTCTAACTGTAGCTTATTAAATCTGCATATTACTCTTTTACCAACGTTTATTGTAATAGTGTAATATAATAACACTAGGCACCCATCGATATTTCACCTCAATCAAGCGTACGCTACTCAGAGTTTTTATCAGAATACCGTCCGCTCGATACCCATAAAACTCGGACATCCCCGATGCGGTATACTAGACGCTCTATACAAAAATGCGTCCCGGTGGGCGGTGGTGTTCCACAGGGTTCCGTACTTGTCCCCCACACTATGGATTCTATATTGTGACAAAGTACTGCGATCGGAGACCGATACGGAAGTGACTAGAGTTGCTTACGCTGACGACTTGGGAATAATAGTAACAGCCAAGTCAAAAACAAAACCTTACGCATTAAACGGGATTATTATTACATCCCAAAGCAACACAAGAGATCACCATTATGTGAACAAATAAATCAGACTAACGCAATTTTGTCGTTTTCTCACACTTATTTTTAAAATAGCAGGAAGCAATAATAACACTTTGACACGCTAACATATACTGTTGTTAAAATCTAACTTGTTTGAATTTACATCACCGCAAACCATATAAAATATTACAAAATAATAACTTATGCAGTTTTACCCGGTAAAACAAAACGGGTCTGACAGAGACAAGTTACCGTCTCATCATGAAACAATGAATACAAGGTAGGATATTTATCAGTCGAAAACTCGATTTTCATGCGCACATGACGTCACTGGTTAGCACTGTAACCTAGACAGATGTTCATTGAATTTAAAACGCAATAGTTCAAGTTATATGAGGATATGTTTGCCGTGTTGTATAGCTCAATGCTTTCCAAATCGCGTTTGGGGCCTGATTTGGGCATACTGCGAAGAAAAATATCCTAAAGAGGTCTTTACAAAATATCTGATTTTCAGCGTTTTAGCTTGCTGTGTTACCAGAGTGTCATTCGTGAAATCGGGTAGAACCAAACGAAACCATCAATTCATTGTATCATTCAATGAATTCATTGTATCATGGGGCGAATGCGTTTGGGCGTGTTTGGAAATATTGTAGACAAACAGCATTTTACGTTTAGTAGTTGAAAAGTATACTATAGATTCTTTGCTACTTTTAATGGTGGGTTCATACACGAGAATAAGGAATAACAATTAAGGCGTATCTTAAAACTTCGTTGCTCATCAACGCCAAGTATCAGAGAGGTGTTAAAGAGAGAGGTGTTGCATAGAGGTGTTAAAGGTGTATAAACCGAATAGCGCATAACGCTTAAGGAATAAGGCTAAAGAAAGTTGCCAACTTTTATCTTATGCGTTAGGCGTTATTCTAATGAGGCATGCGCAGTTTGTAAGATAAATTACAGTCCAATATCCCACGTGACCGCCAAACATCGTATTTACATTTTGTTGTGAGGTTAGAAAAGGAAATTATCCAAAAAGAACTACCACTTCTTCAGTGGACAAATCCATTTTTATGTACAATATTTATGTGAAATAAGCTTTTATTGGTATGTTACCGCGATAATGTCGACCACAAACAGATACAACCCTATTGTCTCTTAATTATTGGCTGGACATAAAATAATATTGTTCCTTATTCTGCTTTATAAACACCCCATTAGGCGTTATTCCTTAAGCGTTATTCTTATGCCTTAATCCTTATTCTCGTGTATAAACCCACCAAAAGTGTCGGTTTAGACTTGAAAGAAAAGAAAAGACGAAAGAAAAGAAAAGAAAAGACTTGAAAGAAGACAGAAAAATGCGGTGTGCAGTTTACCGTTGCATTAGTAATACGAGAGCCAAATCTCTGGAAATAAAGTAGGTATCAAATATTTCCAAAAGACAGTATTTTAAGCAAGCTATGAGAAAGCTTGTTGTGCAGACGCCATTAATGTTCCCTCCGACAGAATATGCTCTCGGCATTTCAAAAATGATGATTATGAGAAGAATTTGCAATTCGAACTTTTGGGGTACTTGCCAAAAACAAACGCTATTCTTTATTGCACATCTGGCAAATGTGCTAGCCTACAAGATAAATTTTTGTTACTTTTCATTTTCAAGTTTAAAACCCGCCGCAAAGCATTTTGTAATTGTAACGAAAATTTACAAAAAAAATATTAAGTGTGACAAAGACTAAAAAAACTATAATTAATCACATTTAGCAGACAGGAAAAAATCACGACACGCAGTGACTTCCACTGATGTCACGCAAATCGACGCAATATCTTACCTTGTATTAATTGTATCCACACACAACTCATAACATAACAATACCTGAGAACAAGTCTATAAGTTTTAATTATTTCATCGTAATTGTTAATATTTGAATCAATATTATTTATTTTCTTTATCAACCCCAACTTAATGCTTGAGTCTAACCCCAGAATATTTTCAGAATGTGTCTACTATAAAGAAATTCGAAAGGTATTCACTACCATTTAATGACAAGTCATTTGGCTAGTTCCCTGAACCTTCAATTTATCACCTGCATACAAGATTAAAATTACTTTGGTACTCCTTAGTGATTGTTTGTTTAATCCTAACGCTTTGAATACTTTCATCGGCATAACATCAACCATGGCACCTGTATCTACATATTTTAAAGCTAAAATTTTTCTTATTAATATTTAAATTTACCTTTTATTGTTTTCGGTGATCATTAATTACTGACATATCGGGTGTAATACTTCCTACATACAGAAAAGTGTCATTCGGCCTACCATTTGGCTCCTTTCTATTGGTCACATTACTGTATCTAGATCTGAACATTCATTAATTTCCCTTACTTTATTTTCATCATTAGAAATTCACATATTTTTATTTTTAAAACAAACTATAACATGATTTGAATTATTGCAAAAACTACACTTTTTTCCAAAAGCTGGACACTTATTTACAAAATGTTCTTTCTTACCACACTTCTTGATTCTTTATGCCACATGTTATCATGGTGACTATAAAACTGTCGTGAAGCGTTTCCAGCTTCCATCTGTTTGCTTTATTTTTTAATTCAACAATAAAATCTTCAGTGCTCTGTTGTTCTCCTTGCCTATAGGTTGTGGCGCAGATTCCCCCTCCATTCGCTCGAGTTGCAAGCGGAGGGCATTTCCGGAGTCTGTCTGCCGGAATGGGAATCACGACCAGTCCAACACAACACATAAAATTAACTGGTAAGCGTGGGAATTTTCCACGTGACGGAATGCCAGGTATTTCTTGTGGGTAGTACCCCCCTGTTTGAGCCAGATTCTGCGCGATATATAAACAACCAAAAGAAAAAGAAACAACAACAAAAAAGAAACGAACTACAATTAAAGCGATAAAAAAAACTAAAATTAACGGTAATCTATGGCTCGGATACCTGTGGCGCGCACAATTGTCGAACGTTCCGCGGCGGGCAAATAGTCTTGTCCCTCGGCACGCACCATAGTCCCGCGGTGGGTTCACAGATTTCCCTGGGGATCAAGGAGCAGGGATGCTCCGGAAAAAAACTTGATTTCCTTGAAGTCCAGCAGTCGGTCACAAAAAAAAGGCCGCGTGGCGTGGTGTCGGTAGCCTTCTTTTCGAGTACCTCCGGACTGCCGCCGTACGCGTTTCCTTCGGGACTGACCGTACAATCCCTTTTTACCAACCGCACCCCCACATCACCCTCGAACCCGGACGGACTGACCGCCGCTGCGCACTATTAGCTTAAGGGTGAATGCGAGGGATGTTTATGGCGGAAAGAAACAATTACGATAAAAGAAAAATGAAAGTCCAAGAGAAGTTAGTTTATCGCCTGATTTACCACGCGGTACGTAAAAGGTGAAAAATTGGTATCTTTCATATGCAGTATTTTCTTTACCAATGAAGCGGCTTTCAAATCTTTGCATCAATGGTTGTAATTTATATTTCTCCTTGTCTTCAAATTTAAAGCTCGTATATTTTTTAAACCCTTCATCGCCTATATAATGTAATAACTGTGCACCACATGAGTTTTTTCACCCTTCTTACTTACTTCAGAAGCAATTAGGTAATTTTCAAACCTAGCTCTCCACAGTTTCCAATTGTCCGGCATTTTGACAGGAAAGGGGCAATATTCCACGATTATCTCCCATTATTTCAATAATCACTTCACAGTTTTCCACTTTTTTCAATTACTCCGTAGGTACTGTTAATTACACAACTGCGTCATGTATAACTTATGTTCTCAACTAGGTAAACATTAATTTATTTAATTAATTAGATAGCCACATCATTCTTGATATGTCTTTATTCAGCCATCTTGTTACCACAGATCAGAGAGGTTACTTTGTGATCTGCGCTTGTTACAACTACTCCCCTCTCTTAACAACTCTCGCATTACACCAATGCAACTACTGTATTGGTAGTTGCCTACCTTCACAATGGTCTCCGCACGACAACAAACATTCGCCCACAGCTTGCTTAAAATATATCACAGAGTACCCTCTGTGATCTGTGGTATTCATTGTATCATGAGGTTATGGTATGTTGTTTACCACTCTAGTCAAATGCAGAAAACCAGATAGTATTGTTAAAGGTGAAATAATTCAGTGGATATTGGAGGAAAGTTTTTCAACTGAAACAATTTCTGTGAATGTTTTCATTTCAAAGCAAGTGCAGTTAACGTTCAAGTAAAATGGAAGAGGACTTTGATGATAGGCCTTGGGATAGTAGCGACAAAGACAATGAGGTTGGTACATCTAACTAAGGGTGATCCTGTCGTTTGAGTACTTTGTGCCGCTCAGTATAAAGTGTAACAAACAACAAGTAAAGTGCAAAGTAAAATAACAAAAAAACGATAAATTTGGAAGTACTCAAACCACATGTTCACCCTAAATAATTATAACAATTTCAGTAATTGTTAAGGTCACACTACTCACATTGTAGTTTATCCCATTACTAGCACCTTTTATTTGAAACATCATTTTTGAAAAAAATGTTTTCTGTCAGAATCAGAATGTTTTGTTTCGGAAAACATACTTGACGAAACAATGGAAGTACACCATAACAAACCGCATTGAAGGATTGTTTGTCTGGGATGTTACCATGTCTACATCTCTATTATTTTTAGGTTGATTTTGTAGCTATTTGTGTTTTTCACTTTTGTTAGTCTCGACCGTCAAAAGTGCATAATTTTAACAATTACCACAATTTCGTACTAATTATAACAGTTAATCATTTTTGTATATGGTAGACGTGTGAGCGTAGTTTAATAGTAAGTGTAGTTTAGATACTTATCTATGAAATCCAGCGCTCTGGACCGCTCATAACACTACTCTTGTTACGCACTCCAAAAAAAAACTATTAAAGCACGTTGCTAAGAGCCGTTTCACACGGGCCATTCTGCAGCGGTCCTCAGTCGCGCTGCTGAGAAGCGCGTTTTGAAGGTACATTTATTTATATGGAGTTGTTCACACTGGCGCGACCTAGGCCCTACCACCGATTTAGCAGTGTTTCTGTGGTTGACTACCGCCGGGAAGAGCTTCAATAAGAAGCGCCACTGATAACGATACATAACGTGCGATTCTCAGCAGCGCTACAGAGTGGATGGTACAATGTTAACGTGCGCTTATCAGCAGCGCCACTACGAAGCACACGAGGCGTTAAAAACTGCCACATATTCTATAATCTTATTGGTTAAGAATGATCAGGTGGCATCTGTGTTCTTATTGGTCCAGATGACAAAGCGGTTTATTTGAAAAGTCGTGTTCAGGTGAAACATGTCTCGTGTGTTTAATAACATTGGAACGTTCTTAATTTAGAATTCTTCCGTTTTGTGCTGAACAGGATTTGTATTTTGTACTGCGATATTCTTTGGATCAAAAGAAGACGATCTGACCTAACTGTTCTTAACAAGAAATGTCTGGCTCCTTTGCTATTGAGTAAATATCAGTTTTAATGGTACGATGTATTTTGATCAAAATTGCTGTGAATTTGTTCTTATGTAAGACTCATGTATTGCTGAAACAATCGAGTTCAGCTGTTTTGGAGAAGTGGTGAATTCTTGAGCGCCGTGGTACAAAAACTACCACAACTTTTTATTTGGTGGATGGAATCAACTCATTTTTTGTTGATGTACTGATCATTTATTCACAATTTTGTTCTCTTTGTAAAATCTTGTAGTATTCATAGTTTTTGCCCAAAAAATATGTCTATTTTCTTGCCACTTAACAATGTTAGACGATTAACTGCAAATATCCGCCGCGTAAACGCCTACTCTTTCACGCAAGTTTTCTTCGCAAAACCCTAATACTTTGACCATGTCGGTCACTTCTTCATTAGAAAAGGTCATTCGAATCGAATTCGACATTAAAATAATTTGATGTAAATCTTTTCTGCTTAAATAAATAAATAATCTTTAAAAGTAATTAATATAAACTTTGCAGTCGGAAGGTCTTGAAGAAATGGAGTCTCCAGAACAGATTCTGGCCGACTGTGCAGTTAAGTTTGCTACCCCTGATTACATCATGGAGCCTGGAATATTTTCGCAACTCAAGAGATATTTTCAAGCTGGAGGAAATCCTTTGCAAGTCATTGAGGAACTATCGCATAACTACACTGCCGTTGCTCAAATGGCGAATTTGGTCGCCGAGTGGCTTATTATTGGTGGTAAGTACACAATTTATATAAGATTAAATGAAATTTTGCGACTACGGATATAGACATGATTATCAAGCTGAACGTAAAACATAAGCTCCTGAGCTACCCTTCGTTTCTGACTCATAGATTACCATATTTGTGTATATGTTTTGTGTCACTAGTATGAGTTATCTCATAATTGAGCGACATGTTCATGGATTGAAAGTAAAGATTGTTGTTCAGAGTCGTAACGTGTGTATCCTCATCCCAATTACATCCAAATCGTACTGCAATCGCATCCAACAAAGACGGCCGACGGCGTTGTATCGTGAGTGCCGGGCCGAACGAGTGTAATGTATCAACGTAAGTTGATCTCGAACTCTATTTTTAAATATATCAGCATTTAGGATGTTTTGAAAGTCACGTTTTTTACGGAATACCTGGTACGGACATTAGATGAAGTTTTCCTAAATTTAAATTTCCCATTGTACGTTTCCAAAATTCCTCCCTGTATAGATTTGGAAAATTGTTGCTGTTAATCATTATTACTCAATTATTAATTTATTTTATTTTAGGAGTAAAGGTACAAGATGTACAAGCTATGGTTGAAAACCATTTGAAGGAAATGATTTTAAAGTCATTTGATCCAAAGAAAGCCGACACAATCTTCACAGAAGAGGGTGAAACGCCGGCATGGTTAACGCAATTAATTGAACATCCTACGTGGAGATCATTAATATATCGACTTGCTGAAGAATATCCAGACTGTTTGATGTTGAATTTTACGATAAAGGTGCGTAAATATCTTACGGTATGCAGTATCACAGCTTATGAGTGAATATGCATGTGTATAAATTATACGGTGTGTCAATTTGAAAAAATCCCACCCATATGTTTCTTGTAGTTGAAAATATGAAAAATCGGAAACACCCGTCAATTTAATTTGTAAGGGGGAAACTTGCATGCATTCAGATATTGGTTTTCAAGTTAGTGTTTACACAAAAACATTGGTATTGGGTCTCCTTGCAATACAAATTATTAGGAGAGTAGTTTCTGCAAGTGTGGCGCAAGATTATTGCAAAATTTCATGTTTTCCGGTCCGGCAAGAACGCTCGTTTTTACATCATTCCAGAGATAACTAAATGACCTTTATTCGAAGCCACAGAATTCGTTTTGGCATCGTTGGATAGACAATTGAAAAGTCGATTCAGTCGTAGCAACGTAAGTGAGAAAATTCGAATAGTTTTGACCCAGAAAGCCAAATTTGAATATCACACACTTAGGTGCAAGATTATGCCAAAATTTCATGTTTTCCGTCCCATTTTTGCTCATTTCTCG